TAGATTATTATAGACATATTTTCTTGAGAAACACACCTCCAGGGAGTCTCTTATGAGTTTTGCTCCTATACGTCTTATTGGGTATGCAAAGAATGCAAGGCCCGGATCACTCTTTTCTCAGGCCATTCTCAAGGTTCAGTTACCAACAAGCAACCTTGAAGGATGAGATAAAATCTCCCTCTGGACAATGAGGAGGCTTGCTTTCTGCTTGCTATAAGCATGATAGATTCTCTAAGCTCACGTTCCTCCACTGCAAGAGAGGAACACTGTGTGCAGGGCACCCATCTAGGCCCATATCACATCACTTCCATAGAACAATACTAAAAATACCTGAAATCCCTAAATTAACTGTACACCAATTCTAGAGAAAGGATATACAAAGTTCTAATTTGGTATGACAGGAGAATCCCCTTCATGCCATTTCTAATACCTGCAAACCAGTAGAAAAGGATTCCCCCCAGCACCTACCTTCTCATGATGGTTCTAGGAACCCAAGGCAGGGACTCCCAAAAGGTAGTCATTTTGGGATGGAGGGGATCAAGTTTCCTAACTATAGGATTTAGAAACAGGGTGAAAGGTGATGAAGAGTTTGGAAGGTATTCAGTGGGATGACTGAGCCGGAAGGAAGGAGGCTCCTAACGGTAGTTTGTATTCCTTCATCAACCTCACATCTGAGGTTATTTCTAGTTCTGTATTAGTTCTGGAAACTTTTCTTTCCATTATTCCCACTTGGTGATTTCCACTAAAAGTATTTGCTCCAATGTGGCCCACTGTGGAAAATGTAGAATTTTACCACTTTTTTTTCTGGTCTTTTGTGCCAATAACTAAAACAATGTAATTCCTATAACCTTAAAACCAGGGCAGTAATGTTTCATAAACTTTATGGGATTATGATGGGTAGGTGGAAGTAGTGAGTGCAATGCAGATTTAAACAGACTGCTTGTTGTTAAGCCCTTGGTTTGACGTGTGGCAACATTAAATAGCCCTTTAAAGAAAGATAAGCATGCTCTCCTATAAAGTCAACTTTGTAGTTCCAAGATTGCCACTATTAAGAAACTGCACAGAGAACTTCTACACTGAAATGAGAGATCATGTTCATTTTTTCCATCAGGATCACAGTCAAAAACAAACCATATTTCTTGAAAACTTAGGTGAGGTCTCCAAGAGTTAAACAAAACAGATTTGCCAGCAAAAGGCAGGAAGAGTAAGATTATAATTTGAACCAGGCAAACTGTTTCATAACAGAAAATGTGGCATTTAATGCAGTTTGCAGAATATGGTATGCTAAAAACGCTACTTATGGCAGTAGCAGGCCTCTAGAGAGTGAAATTAGCCAAACAAAAGAACTAAAAAAGGTAGAAAAAGAAGCCATGTCAGCATTACAAAGCCACAAAAAACTGATATGATTTTTTTCTTGGTGATTTATAATTTTTTTACCATACTTTTGGTTTAAAAGTACAAAAAGTATACGATAAAAACATTTTCTTTTTGACCATTTTAAATTAGGAATTTATATTAATTCAAATTTATCCTAATTTAACAGGACTAGTGTTTTAACAGACACATGTAATACTGAGGTCAACAAAGTTACTAATGCAGAAGACTATACAAGCTGATCAAAGTTCTGCTCTGCGACACCTCCTGGAACAGATTTACTTTGGGTTCCTGAGTGGGTTGGCCTGCTGCTAGGATAGACTAATGTTTCTTTACTTGAAATAAACATTCAGTCAAAATTTCTACCAAAAAAAAAACCTCATATTGAAAGGCTTGGCTCATGTCTCAATGTGCTGGCCAAATAAAAATAAGCACAAAAACCGCAATGCAGGTTGACTAGAAAATTATTCTAATTGTCCTTAGGTCTCTTTGCATTAAACATAAAGTACTTGAATCTTTCTTTCTTTTATAATCCTGTCAATTCTAAACTTTGAAAAGACTGTGTCTATTCGGCTTTTGTACTCTTAAGGGGGCTCTGTAAATTTAAAGTATTTTTAATGAAATATTTTAGACACAAAAAAAGATAAAGACTAGAACTTTAAAAATACACAGGTCAATGGTATATCACTGTTAAAAAATTAACAATCTAAATGCACATTCATACAATAAATGTACACACTCATACATTTTACATTCATACATTGAGACTTTGCTGACAAAGTCTCAATTAACATGGAAGAACTGGGGGATGTGTGAGATAGGAAAACATAGAACTAATAAGTATTAGCTTTTGTTTCTAGCAGTATTTATTGGTTCTATATTTTCTCATATTTTTAACAGTGATATACTGTTGACCTATATATTTTTAAAGTTCTAATTAATCTTTATCTTTTTTCATGTCTAAAATAGTTCATTAAAAATACTTTAAATTTACAGAGCCCCCTTAAGAGTACAAAAGCTGAACAGACACAGTCTTTCACACCAGAGAACTAATAAAGGATGTCTGGGTAATAGACCAACATATAATTAATTGGACTATGTTTAGAGAGCATAAAATGGGTCAATGGCATACAGTGATGATTGCCAACATTAAGATGCTCTTTATTCAGACAGTAAGCCTAAAAGTGGGGGGAAAAAAAGGCGAGGGGTGCTCTTCTGGTTTTTAAATACAATGACTGTATCCAAAAACCTCATGTTTAGAAGAAACCTTTCTGTATCTTTCCTGCGCCTGTTCCAGATAACTCTTCTGGAACAAGCCAAACAATTCTATTTTCCACATAACAACCCTCCTTTCCTGGAAGATGGCTCCCAGGTCTACTTTCCATCCTCTCTTCTTCAGTTTACTGAATCATTCCAACCCTTAACCCACTCCTCTACCTATGACATGGTTTCTAGATATTCTCCCCATCCTAGCTATGCTTCTCTGGACTTTTCCATGTTTGGGATGACTTAAATTAATATTGTTAATATTTTTTAACAACAGTGATACACTGTTGACCTATGTATTTTTAAAGTTCTATTAGTCTTTATCTTTTTTTCATGTCTAAAATATTTCATAAAAATATTTCAGCCGGGTGTGGTGGCTCAAGCCTGTAATCTCAGCACTTTGGGAGGCCGAGGCGGGCGGATCACGAGGTCAGGAGAGCGAGACCATCCTGGCTAACACGGTGAAACCCTGTCTCTACTAAAAAATACAAAAAACTAGCCGGGCGAGGTGGCGGGCGCCTGTAGTCCCAGCTACTCGGGAGGCTGAGGCAGGCTGGGAATGGCGTAAACCCGGGAGGCGGAGCTTGCAGTGAGCTGAGATCTGGCCACTGTACTCCAGCCTGGGCGGCAGCGCGAGACTCTGTCTCAAAAAAACAAAAAACAAAACAAAAAAAAAATTTTTAATGTACTAACATATTACATAAAGGCAACTTTGGATATTTTCTGTTGCAAGTTTCATTTGGTATTATATAAGAAACATTCAAGTTCATAATTTAAAGAGTATTAAAAACAAATTTCAAAGGATTATTTTAAAAAATCCTTTTTCATCATTCTTAACCTGGTTGGTCTCCCATGAAAACCATACTCTTTTCTTATTGGTCACACAACTTTTTAATTGAAAATATCACAGAAAGCTTTTGGATTTTTGTTGTTGTCATTTTTTTTTTACATATTGTAGACATTTTTCCATGCACCAAAAGGATAGAAAAATAAACACCCAGCTTCCATGATTATCAACATTTTGCCAATCCAGTTGCCTCTATCCTGTGTTCACCACCTTCCCATCCCAGCAACATATTGTTTCATCTTCAACTGAAACACACACTATGTATTAGAGCCTATTACACCATAAGCATTGTGCTTACCTCTTCTAGTCCTCAAAACAAACCAACATAACAGTCAAGCCTAATCCTGTACTGTCCACGATCTCTAGTCTCATAGCAACACTAATTTTCCTATTCCATGTCTTGACATGCATTGTTTTCAATACCTATACAAACGATGGGACTCTTATTCTAGAAATTGGATGCTCTACTTTCACTAGACAATATTCCTTTGTTACGAATTCTTACAATATTGCTGGCTGAGATTACTGTTCATGCAACTGTGGAGCAATTTTATAATTAAATGGGTCACTGACATGCCGGTTAATAAATTCTGGTAGACAGATCAGACAGTAGTCTGATAAACAACCTTGCATAACCAACAGGATTTTAAAATTACTTTTCAAATGCATTCTACCTAAAGAAAGGATGAAGAAGTAATATTAACAACTGGTAGTATCCATTTTTATTTTAAAGAAAACATACACATTTTGCTTTCCCAATCATAACTTTAGAGAATCCACTGTTTCACTATATAACATTCATTAAATTTTAGGACCAAAATGTTCAATTACTGTTTAATACATAACAGGAGTTATTTCCAATCATTTTGAAAGAAAGCAAGAGTTAGTTCACAAGTGCGGTCACTGGCTTTAGAGAGTGACAGGTCTTAGGAAACCAATTGATTTATAAATCATAAGAAATCCCTACAACATGCTAGAAAATTTAAAGGTTTGCAAAAATGGGAAAGTACCAAATAATCACGAAGAGACAGAATTCCTAGGAGCAGCAAGTCATCATTATGAAGTGGTGAAAACCCTTCAAAAGGGCAAGGAAGAAAGCTAAATATAAAACCCGCCTAAAAAGTAGTCTGTAGACTCTTATCTGAAGAGTTGCTAAAACATTTCAATCAGGAAACTTTGAATCTATAAAATATTAATGGATGATTGGGTTGAGGGTGTAAGGGCTTGAAAAGAGTAATAAGAGGGTTGGTTCTAAAGAAGTAAAGAAGAGGGAGGTATGCATACTTCACTTTTCATCAAACCACTTGACTTTCAAAAACCTTTTCACTTAGATTCTAACATAGTAAGCCTTACCCTAATTTTCCTCCAAAGACTAGATGTGCAATTCAGCACACTCTTTTATTTGATGCAATATAAGAAACTCTAAAAAAAAAAAAAGGCAACAAAAGCAAAAGGTGTTTTTTGTTGGTTTTTAAATCAGGCATTAAGAGAAGCACTAAGTTTCAAAACTTACATCTGAACCCACATTTCTCATGGTACTTTGTAGGACAGGTTTAGTCACAGAAAGTTTTCCATTCACTGGGCTATTCGCCGAAGGGGCTGGTACCACATTCACCACGTGATTAGGTAGCTGTGTGACTCCCCCAGCAACAGCAAGGACTGGCTGAGCAGAGGGCAGAACTCCAGGTGCTTGAAGTTGTACCACAGTAGGCTGAGACAGCAAAACCGTCTGACCTGCATTAGAAAAAAGAAAAGCAATCAGAGGGTACACAACTGTTGTGGCAGCGGAAGCAGCTTATAATTAGGTCTCTTCTGCAGACGTAATGGGTAAGATCAACACCAAGGGATTTGACACCATCAGTTAAAACATTGGATCAATAGCAGCACACACTTACGGTGACTTTGTTATGTTTTTAATGGGACCAACTAAACTCATCTCTTTGAACTATCATTAACAATATACTTTCTTATTTATCTTTATCAACTAAATAGCTATCAAATTTGCTGTAATCCCTGGATTTCTAAGAATTAACCTCTGAAATTTGTTAGTGCTAAAAGGATTTGTCTTATTATAAATAACAAATCTTTTACACTGAACATGGAGAGTCGTGTATTCTAAATTGATAGGATTTACAAATGCACACAACACCAAAAATATCTGAACATAAATGTAGTAATAGTAACTCAGTATTAGAAGAAGAAGGAGCTACAGGCCAGGCACTGTGGCTCACACCTGTAATCCCAGTGCTTTGGGAGGCCAGGAGTTTGAGACCAGGCAAGGCAACATAGTGATACCCTGTCTCTACAAAAAAAAAATGTAAAAATTAGCCGGGTATGGCATGGTGGTATATACCTCAAGTCTTAGCTACTTGGGAGGCTGAGGCAGGCAGATCCCTAAACAGGACAAAAAAAAAAAAGGACTACAAATACCAAAAAACTTAAAACCATTTGAGATTAAATCTTAGCTAACAATCACGGTAAACATAAATCTGTGATTCAAAATAGTCTGTAGATGACACCAGCCCTTTCCCTCTTCCCCCAAAAATGGCCTTCAATTCTTTTCAGAGTCTTTGGATGTATCATTATTTTAAATTTATGCTAATTTGAGAATTAGTAGAGGTTGAACATCCTTAATCCAAAAACCCAAAATCCAAAATGCTCCAAAATCCAAAACTTTTTGAGTGCTGACACAACTCCACAAGTGGAAAACTCCACACTTCTGGTCCCAAGTATTTTGGATAAGGGATACTCAATCTGTAAAAATGACAATGAAGATGGTGTTGTTAACTTAGCAGAAAAAGTGCCTATAGATGGCATGGTAAAAATGTGTGATGGGCCTAGTGAATGACTAAAGCAGCATACAGTCATAACAGAAAAAGAAATCATGTCAGTTTATAAAATCAAAAAGAGACTTCTAAGACAAAAACTTGTTAATGAGGCAGATGACTCCATAGAAAACATTTCTAGAAGTCATCCAACAGAATGCCTCCTCATCCCCAGAGGACCCACTTCCAGTCCCTCAACGTTTCTTCTCACCTGAAGACATAAAATAGAGGGTACAGTAGGCTTTTAATGAAAACATAGCATCAAAAGCAGAGACTGAAAGCTGCCATTTTTTGTTGTTGCTGTTGTGCAGTAGCTGACACTTCTATTCTGGTGATTCTACTGTCCTGTCTAGTTACCCTGTACACATTATTTTTCCACTGTATTAATGGTATGTCATAATTTTTGTTAAGTTCTTACGTGTGAATTTGTGAATAAGTGTAACAACATGATTGCTTGTCAGTAGCATATGAATTTAGAGCCAGGAATGATGGTGGTGCCAAACAACTACAGATTGTCCACATGAGATAGTGACAACTGTGCTTTCTGATGGTTCAATGTATGCAAACTTTGTTTCATACACAAACTTACTTAAAATATTATATAAAAATTACCTTCAGGCTATGTGTATAAGATATACATGAAACATAAATGAATTTCATGTTAGACTTGGGTTCTGTACCCAAGATATGTCATTATATATATGCAAATATACTAAAATCAAAAAGTACCCAAAATCTGAAACACTTCTGGTTGCAAGCATTTCATTTAAGGGGTACTAAACCTGTACCATTAACCTAAAGACTTATACAACTCATAACACTAATCTATTAAAAATTTTACTTGCCTGCTAAGTGCTTCCTTTCAGATCTGGCAGATTTTTACAAGGTGTTGAAAGCCTTGCCTAACATCCACAGCTGCTTGAGCCTATCTAACAAAATGAAGGTACTAAAATAACTGGCAACCATAATCCCATGTAAATTTATAATTTAAGAAAAAAAAAAGCATTATGCTTTCAAACAGGTTGACACATGTAAAACTCAGCTCAGTATTTCAAAGGATCGGGGAAAACTAAAAATCAAAATAAAGATTCAGAACACCTGTTTGTCAAGAACATCTGTCTTAGCTAAAAAAGATAACTTATAAAAGCAAAGCCCTTATTTCAGATGGCCTCAAAAAACACACTGAAAGTAGCAGAATACAATAAGCAGCATTTTATCCCAGATAAGAAGATCTAAAAATAATTTCATGGATTTGGAGTACAGAATACGTATTAATACTTGGGCATAAATGATCGTTAAACATTTTTACCTTCTTATTTTCCCTTGGACTCAGTTTTTCTTTCCCCCACCTTTTACTTTAGGTTCAGGGGGTACACATGCAGATTTGTTACATGGATAAATTGCATGTCACAGGTGTTTGGCACTCAGATTATTTCATCACTCAGGTGATGAGCATAGTACCCAACAGGTAATTTTTTGATCCTCACCCTCCTTGTATCCTCCACCCTCAAAAGTAGCCCCTGTTGGACGGGCGCGGTGGCTCAAGCCTGTAATCCCAGCATTTTGGGAGGCCGAGACGGGCGGATCACGAGGTCAGGAGATCGAGACCATCCTGGCTAACACGG